TGTATTTGTTCATTGGTATGTGTATTTGTATTTGTTCATTGGTATGTTTATTTGTATTTGTTCATTGGTATGTGTATTTGAATATTTATTTATAGAGCTCCTGTATGTGGAGCTTAATGAGCTCACTGTGTTGTGTATCTAACAGTTGCATCATCATTAGCGGAGCAATTTGTTAGCCGTGTTAGCGATGTGTTACTGCACGACCTCGTCTGTTTATCGCTCTGAACGCTCACGACCAGAAACAAGCAGCGCGCTGAGCCGAACGGCGCTAATGAAGATGTTCCGTCAGAGATTACAGAGCGCGTTCACGCTAACTGTCAGATGACATGTTTCTCAGTGTTTTATTAGCCTCCTAATTTCAACGTGACCCACTTTTTATTGTATTGATATTTGTTCTCTTGTTTTTGCATTGATGCATGAAGCTGTTCATAAAGCGATCAGTTTAATTATTCAATACGGCGGCAGACACAAGAGACCTCGTGTGTGATTAAGCTCCGTTTCTCTCAGAAGGAATGAAGCGCTCGATGTGAAACAAACAATAAACCGACACCCAACGCATTCATGGGGAAGTTGAGTCACGCACGAGTGTGAATCCTACTCTGCCATCAACATCCCGCCTGATCAATAACCCCAATGTGTTGGCTCTCCACAGTGACGGAAACAAAGCACACACACACACACACAGCAAGCCGGGCAAGGACGCATTCACGGTGCTATTACACGGACACACAAGCTCTTAATCGGGAGCAGCTGGTGACAAAAACAAGCAGCCGAGACTCAAAGTGTGACTGCAGCCTGTCATGACTCCGGTTGGCTGATGAGCTGTTTCTGCAGCGCCGCCGAGTGTCTCACACGTAGAACGAGTCCAAGGCCTTGAAGTAAAGGTAGAGCTCGGTATTGGTTTTCTGCTTGTGTATCATATCGACACACAAACTAAACTCAAAGTAAGAGAAATAAAACAAATGTATATTAGACGCATGGTTTTTATTGATTGACACTACGTCACAATGTGAAAACAGTTATGTAATAAAATCCAAAGCAGAGAATAACGAATAAATCAAGAACAAAAGACGAAGTACCTTGAAGGTGTTATCAGCTGTAACCACCGTATGAGAGCAGTGCAGAGAGCTCACGTGCAGTAAAAGGCACGCTCACGTACACTTACAAGCACTGAGGTACACGGCCTGATAACACACAGACATTACTCCTCTCTATCTTCACATCGATGATAGTTATGTGATGAGGTGCTAATGATCTGTTTAATACGGCTCCTTTAAAGTTATACACACTATATGACAGCAGATGGTTCGGGACATTCGGGATTAACAAGAAGTGCTTTGATTTTGCAGACTTCCTGCAACGATTTAAAAACAAACCCTTGAAGACTTGTTTTGGTATAATCACGCTCTAATCTTAATCACCCTGCAAGAATAAAATGACTTGTAACAAGTTTCAACATGTTAATATTAACTGGATTTAATGTTTTATCAAAACGCCAAAGAATCTACAGCCATGCTAGCAGCTGTGCTAGGCTATATGCTAACGGGAATGCTAACTTCTGATGTTCAGCAGTTATAGCATTTAGCATCTTACGTTAGCATTTCAGCTAACATTGTAAATTACACAAAGCTGATGAGAATATCAGAACTTCTGCAGGTCTTTCGTGATAAACTGAAGTATGACGGCGCTAAATGAAAAGGATTAAAAGTTAAGAATGATTAAATTATAATATTTTTATGAGAACTTCTACAATAAGTGAAAAGCATGACTCATAACTTCTACTTACTGAGTCAAAACGTAAAGTCAGACTTTTGACTCACCATGAGTCATTATTTTTTATCAATTTATAGTTTCTTTTGTGTTCTTGGCTTCAGTATAGATTGAACAGGAAACATGTTTCATGTCTGGATGTTTTCAGTACACGTTCTCTGCTTCCTGATGTCACTAATCGGTCATTACGTCTCTAACATGCGTACGATCCTTTCATATATGAAATGGGACATTATATATAGAATACATTCAGTGATGTCAGTGTGTGTATGAAGAGCTCATGTTTCCTGAGAGGCTTGTTTGTAGCTTTAAGAAGCTTGTAGAACACAGTAGTTCTTTGTTTTTTTTTGTCCTAGTTAAGTCCGTTTCTCTTTGTGTGTGAATGAGCATGCATTGAATGAAAACATGCTGGAGTGGGTTGTTAGCATGCTGCACAGATGTCTCTCAATTAAGTCCTGCCATACCCGCCGCGTCTTTGTCCAAGCAGAACCACATGAAGTCCAATTAGACCGGTGAAGAAATTGTTAGATTGCAGCCTGTGAGTCATTCTGCTAAAATTACAGCTGCTCTGCCTGTTGCATTCGCCTCTGAAGCCTCTGTACACCGCCCTGTACATCGCCCTGTACATCGCCCTGTACATCGCCCTGTACACCGCCCTGTACATCTCTCTGTACACCGCTCTGTCTCTTGTTTTTCTGCAGCTCGCTACGTGGGACTCAGTTCACGGTCTGAACGGCAGTCTGAAGGAGAGTCGCATAGAGAACGGCATGCAGGGAGTGACGGTTAAAGTGGTCACTTTGCTGGTAGGTGACACGAGATATTCAACAGTTTATTTAATCACATTTCACTGCCATAACCATTCAGACCGCATCAGTAAAATTACTTACAGTACAAGTAATTAAAAGATACTTGTGTTTACGTGGGAGATTAAAAATACCTTTCAGCCAATTAAATAGTTTCACAAGTTACGCAACTTGAGCTGCAGTGTCAGTGAAGCTACAGAGGATGAGATAAGAGATAAAGTGAGATTAGACACAATACATCCCAAAGAATGACTTTGTGCTCAAGATAATCACTAAACATAGCAGAAATATACTACTACAATACTATGCATGTACTAGATGTACAAGGATGCATCTATGTATTTGTAATGAAATAAAACATGAACAAAAATATGGAGAAAAAAATACATAAAGGGAAGTGCAGCGTACAAATGAGTAAAACATTAATGAAAGTGTGATGAGAGAGGTTACAGTGTTCAAAACTACAACCGATGATTAAAGTGCACAACAGAGTAACAAAGTGCACAATATAAATAAATATAAATAAACTAGGAACTGAAGGACAATATATATATTTACAGGCTAACATACAGTAATTTACATTTGTGTTGACTAACTGTAGTTTAACATTCAGTGTTACATACATTCTCCACTGATATTTAAAAAAACAATCACCAAAAACTACACAATGTTAAAGCTACATGTGAATAAAAAGTCTTTAAAATGGTCAGTCAGCCTCAGTGGAAGTCTTAAAACTCCATGAGAGAAAATAAAAAAACTCCGATGTTTGCTCCACTCTGTCAATTCAGTTCTTCAAATACAAGTTCAATTCTTGATATAACAAAAATAATCCCACACTCCAGAGCACAAAACACACTTCAATAACTCCAGAGGAAAGTCCTTCAGTCAATAAAGGAGAGAACGACTTTATAGCTTGTGTGCTTCTGAGAGTTTTTATTGTGGCTGGTGATTCGTCTCACTCTCTCATGTTCCTCCACCCAAAAGTTTCCCCGCAACACTTTTTTTTTTTGTTGAGAGGGCATCGATCCAGAACCAGCACCAGCCGGAGTAACTAGTTCAAGAGATAGAGCAGCAGCCAGTGTGCTGTCGCAGCAGCACGGAGACGCTGCTTTAACCAAGCGAGACTAATACCTTCAGCCTGCAGCCGGGTCCTCTGCAGCTGCAACACTTCCAGCTCTGAGTGCTGCAGCACAGACACACACTACCAGCTACAGACACACACTACCAGCTACAGACA